TCAAGTTTTCGCAACGGCTATAGCAAAACTCGGCAAGTCAAGCGTTCTTGGCGCACGACAAGCGTACCTGCCGCCCTGTTTCTTTTTTTTTTTCCAGCTTGTGCGTGCTCTGCTTGTGCCCGTTGTCGAGACCGGCGCTGACGAGCTGTTCCTTCTAGTGTCGATTTGGCGGTCCGGGACAGGTTGGAGGAGAGCTTTGTAGATAGAATTCGGCGTCGGATAGTAGGCGGGCTCGGCTTGGCTTGCTTGCGCGGGGGGCGTTCGCGGCAGTGCAATTGTTTATTGCGCGTTTGGAGGTGGTCGGTGAAGAAGTGGGAGTGGTTTGTAAGCTTACGACACCGTGACGTGCTGTCCGAGGGCGACGTCGCGACGGTGAGCCTCCCTGCGCTCGCCGTCGTTGGCGCAGCCTGCTGCGTGCCCGCCTAGCTTTTCTTCGTTGCATCGCGCGTTGGGAGGGCGGCGGGGCTATATATATATATATATATACTTCAGGTCAAGAAGAACCACGATGCGCGAAGGAGAAGGGTGGTGAGTATCAATTTGTCCTTTCTCCCTCCTCGATGCACTCGCTGACTCCTACTTTCAGAGCGTGTCAACCTGAAGCGAATCCCCGCCCAGCCCCGGGCCGCCCGCACCGTCACCGCTGTGTCATCGGGCAACGTCCCACAAACGATGGTGCCTGTACCATACGAGACGACAATCTAGAGGCTTGTCGCTTACGAGTTGTTTGGTTGGTTGGCCACCGTGGTGGGACGTGTATGCTATATGCGCTATGTGGCGATGACGAGCGACGCAAAAAATGATTCAAATTCATGCATTCCTTTCGCTTTAGTTCAAGAGTACGAACAACAACACATGAAAAGTACTCCGCGCTTGACTCAAATTCACAGCAGCTGAATGTATTCTACTTCTCACTACGGAGTTAGACTCGAACTAGCCGCTATGAAAGTGTGAACCGTTGGGAGCTGGCCTAAGCGAACCTACTATGTAGTTGGCTCAAACTGACAATGCCCGTCGATAGTGCATCCCTTTCGCTTCATCTGAGTGTATTTTGCTGAGTCGATTCGAAGAGTTACTGCTGAGAGCGTCTAAATCTACTCTATTTCTTGGTCTCGGTTCCTAATAGTACTTGTCAGTGGTACAAACAACAGGTTCTAGCTGATATGGTTCAGAATTCTTCTACAAGTGGTTGATTATAGCTTCAATGAGCATGGCGATATGGTGCAGGGTCATGGGGGCGTGCTCGCCGATCTGGTCAGTCAGGATGAGAGCAAAGTGGCTTTTCATTGCGTATGCGTCGTAGCAGGATTTCATGTTGCGGAGCTCAGGCAGCCCCCGTCCAACCGAACGGAGGAGCCCGATGTAGCCTGCGAGGCTTTCTCGAGGCGCCGACTGCAGGAAGACGAGTAAGGCATTTTCGTCGGTGTCTTCGGCAGGCTGTTGCGCGTGAAAAGTCCGAATATCCAGCGGGTATATGTGCTAATTACCTGAATGTTCACTGGTGTCACAGAACTAAAGCTGTTTCCGGCCCCAATGGACGGAGAGGTGCCAGCTGCCAACTGGGTTGGTTGATTGAGATTCTGAGCTGCATATGGACGAGGCGGAAAAGGATACACAGCCGGCTTTCTTGAGGGTATGCGGGCGCTAATTGTCAACGCCGGGTCGATTCCCTTGCACTAAGTAATGAATCAGTTGCAAGTCACGGGAAAATCAACAACAAATGGACGGACAGTTGGATATTCTGAGGCGGAGAAGGGCTGGAGAGCTTGAGGAGTCCGAGCGTCATCGAAAGCCTGCGCAGACAGTAAGTTGGCGGTAAATTGAGGCCTCAGATATGTTCCGAGTGTGCCAAATCGCGTTTCTCTCTCCTGGACAGCCTGCTCGGTGGAGTCATGACCACTCGATCTCAAACTAAAACCCGATCCAGGCCGCGAAGGCAGGCAACTTCCAGGTGTCGACGCGGGTTGCGCTAATTCATACTTATGAAGGATACTCGGAAGGTCGCCAGCGAGGGCCACATCTCGACTGGTGTCGTCTGGCTCAGCATATTCGTTGCGGAGCGCACGTGTGATGGTTGGGACGACGGTGGCTTTTGGGAGAGCACAGTAGCACATCCCGTGACTGGCATGTAATTATTTCCCATGTCAAACCATACCCCCCCTTGCACGCCCCGCTCCAACGCTAAGTCGCGCTCGCTCGCCAAGTCGCGCGAGCGAGAGACCCCTCTAATATACTACTTTTTTCAGCGCACGGACCTATAAACAAGGTCATGTGAGTACTCTGTGCGTCGAGCAGCGGGCGAAAAATTGGGATTTGGGGACAGGTTTGAGTGGATTTGGGGGACATAACATGCTGGGGAATTTGGCGTCACTCTCGGGCTTTCCGGGCAGGCATATAACGATGTAAAGTCATATATTAGCTATTTTAAGAGGTACATCCAGGCGCGCTAATTATCAACGCGTCGCGACGCGTGCCAACTCCCTGCGACGCGTCAAATCTCAAGTCCACAACGCGTCCATCTCCAAATCCAACACCCTCCAGCGCAGAGCGCTATTCACGCAGCCTTGATAAGCCTCCCGTTCGTTGGCCTCCGGCGGCCCAGACCTGTAAAATTTGAGCCTTATATCGCGTCAAATGGAGGCAAAACCGCACCCAAAATATACCATCAAATGCAGCGCGGACAACAGTGTGGGCAACACACAGTCGACACCTTTGCAAGGCCAGCCGTTTTTTGGCCTCCGGCGGTTCAGACCTGCAAAATTTTGAGCCTTGAATTGCGTCAAATCGAGGGAAAAACTCACCCAGAAAATACCATCAAAACGAGCGCGGACAGCAGTGTCGGACACGGATTAACAACGAGTGAGCGTGGCCCGGGACATCAGAGGCAAAGACTGAGTCGGGGAGCATCCGAGTCGGCCGCCGCACCGCCCGGAAATGTTCCAGCCGAGAGCGCCGAGAGGAGCGAGATGGCCCAGCTGATGTCGGTCGGAGGTGGTGGTGATGATAGAAGAACGGCGCGGGGCAAAGGCAGGGGGAAAGTGCCGAGATGAAGGGCCAACGTTGAGCTGGGTGGTCCGGCCTTCCCGTTGGTGATGGCGGAGATGGAGCCGGTCAAGCCCTCAGCAGCCACGGAAAGTGTCGCAGGCCGGCGGGAACATGGCACGATGGCAACAGGGCAGGGACACAAGTTGAGCATGGACACAATAAAAACAGGATGAGTTAAGGGAGCAAGGATAGAGTGAAAGCGTACCCCAGGACTGCAATTCATTCTTGAACGGACCGGCCGACTCAACGTCTTGAGGAGAAAGGTGGCGCGGGTCGAAACGCGATGGGCAAAGCAACGCGCCGGTGACAACGACATGGGATACGGTCAGCACCGACGGAAGGACTGGAGGACATTGGCCGGTGCCCTACAAAAAATGTAAGTGAAGGATGATAAGGCAAGCGGAAGGTGCTTACAAATGGAGTCTAAGCCAAGGGTAAGATGCTGTGCTCGGCGCCCCACGACCTTTCCTTCCCCGCGGCACCGCCAAATGTCCTGCGTGAAACCGGCTCGGCGCTGCGCGCGTGGCCCCCGAGTCCCTCCGATGATCGACGCCGCCATAGGCCGAGTGATGCAGTCGTCCAAAATGATTGCTCGGCGCTTCGCGCCTCGCTCGCTCGCAATCCAGCACAACAGCAGTGTGGAAAACACACTGCCGAGAGCTTTGAAGGCCAGGGCGTTTTGATCGCCTCCGGCGGCAAAAACCTGTGAAAAAGTGAGCTATTTAGACGCTAAAAAGAGGGCAAAAATGTACCGAAAAATACCATCAAAATCTGGTGATGGCATCATGCCGGGGTGCCGACGGGCGATCCGGCCCCGGCGAGGCATGATATAGAACCAAAATGGGCGGCATAGTCCGCAATGCCAAAAGTCCAGGCGGTAGCGCAGGCCTCCGGCAGCGAAAATCTGGGAAAAATGAGCTTTTTGGACGTCAAAAATGCGGGCAAATGTGCTTACGTAAGCGTCATTTTGTAGGTCAAAATCGCCACAGAAGTGCTTGCCGAAGAGCTGGTATGGCCCCAGATCTGGACATAACATGAATGAAATATAACAATGAAGCAGAAAGACCATACCGGCACAGTTTCCTCACACCGGCAGAGGTTCCCCCTATGGTCGAGCGTGGGTGGCGGCGAAGCAGGTGCGGCCTCAACGATAGCAACAGTAAGTCTAAGGCGGATGTCAGTCCTGCATTATCAAACATCAGTAAGGACTTACCAGCATAGATTTCCCGCCCGAGCAGAGGTCCCCCCTCCGCGTAGTCATGGTCAACGACAACACTAATCGGACATCAGTACAAGCTCATATCCCCTCAGCAGAAACAACTTACCAGCAATATTCCGCATCTAAGCAGAGGTTCACGCTCCCGCTTGCCTCGCGAATGATGGTCACAAATCTAAAGCTGAGATCAACATCTTATCGCGAAGAACAAGGGCGACAACTTACTAGCAAAGCATCTACGCACGAGCAGAGGTTCCCCCTCTGTATATGGGTCGGGTCGCGTTGATAATAGCGAGGCTAAGTGGTACATCAGTACGACATCATACGACCACAATGAAAGCAACTTACAGGCAACAATTCACCGCCCGAGCAGAGGTTCACGGTTGGAGGATAGACATGACCTGCAACGCCAACGGCCACAAAGCTATGGCTTACATCAACACCTTATCATCGAAGAACGACGGCGATGACTTACTAACAAAGATTCCGCACACGAGCAGAGGCTCCCCCTTCATATTGGGTCGCATTGATAAGAACACTAAGCAGGGAATCAGGACGATGTCATAGTACAACAACAAAAGCAACTTACAAGGAAGAATTTGACGTCCGAGCAGAGGTTCACCCTCTCGCAAAAGTTTGAGTGGCCGTCGCCAGCTGAAACATAACGTTATTACTCTGTTAGAACCGATAGAGCAACAACATACAACTAGTCCTTCCGCTGACGAGCAGAGTAGAGCTCTTAGTTGCGAGACGTTGGCACCGCAGAGGGAAGAGGTGGCGGCGCGGCATCCATGACGACGTCCACATTCGATGACACGACTACAATAGATCAGCATCATATCCCAGAGACAGAAACAACTTACGAGCAGAGGTTCCCCGTCTGAAGACAGCAGCGCGGACAGCTAAGAAGCTATACTGACATCAACAACGCGCTGGAAAGCAAACAAAATAAGGACATACCGGCATAGTCGATGTCCACGCAGAGGCTCCCCAACTTACAAGCAGAGGTTCCTCATCTCTGACGACGGCGGCGCGAACAGCAACGAATCTGTGCCAACATCAACGACGCGCTAGAAAGCAAGCAAGATATTGACATACCGGCAGAGTCCCCATGTCCACGCAGAGGTTCCCCCCTCCCGCAAAGTATAAAGCGACCGAGGACTCGGAGAAGCTAGACATTGTGTGAGCGACTTGGACAAACACAAAAAGTGGACAATAGTACATACCTCTGAGTTGGTGCTCGGACTCGGCTGAGTCCAGAGAGTCGTGAGCTGGGCAAGGCGGAGGAGAACGTGCAAGGTGGGTCCGGACCAGCTACCAACCCGGGTGTGAAACGACGACAACAGTGCAGCTGGTTGCCAGCGCTGGATGAAGAGTGGTCAGTAAAAAATAAAAAGGAAGCCAAACACAACATACATAAATGGCGCGCCTGACGCTGCCCGTTCGAGCGGCTTCCGTGTGGTTGAGTAGACCGGTTGCGCCAGACTGTCAGAGGAGGTCAGAAGAAAGCGCTGAGTTCACAGCCGCACACACACACCTCCGTATGACTGGACGCGTTGCCGTAAACGGTGCACTCGGGAACACGACTTGAAAGCCCAAACTAGGGCTGAGAACGGGGAGCAGGAGGGTGCTACGGAGGCTGGGATGAGCGCGGGCGGCAAGAAAACAGACGGAGGCATACCTTCATCGACGAGGAACGCGTTGACGAGTGTTGTGGTGGTGGAGTGAAGACAAGCCAGGAAATGGCGCGTGACTTCGTTGATGATTTGATTTCTCCACGGAAATCACATCAACGGTGTCAAGCACACTGTCACCGAGTCAGGGTCGATTATTATAAGCGGCGCGGGGAGTGAGGAAATGCCGAGTATCGGGTGGTGCGTTAGGCCGTGCGGGTGCCGGGTCTGAAGCTAACGGAGATGATGATGCAGGCTCACCCGGTGCACGTAGGCGTGGGCGGCGCGCAATCATGATGGCGCATCATCGATACGGGTGATGCGGCGCGACGCGACACGTCGGGGAGGATAGCTTGAGTGCCATGCGGGGCATGGCCAAAAGAACAGGTGTTGCCTTGCCGTCCCCAGCGCGCGCAGGCATGTCCCGCTTTCCGTGGCGTACTATTTTTAGAGTTCACCTGCGGTGACGGAAATAGTCGCCAACCTCGGCCAATGAAGACCGCCGACGGCAATGCGGTCAGGGTTCAATCTTATTGTCAGGGTCCTATTGCGTTAACACGGAAGAGAAGCCACCCACGAACAAAATCAAGAAGCCCGCTGACAGGCAGCCCGGTGATGTGGCGATCACTGCCCGGGCATGTACGAACCCTGTAGAAACTTGGTACAGTTGAATGCTCCTCCTGTGGCTTTTGGCCTACACACGTTCTGCCCTTTTGTTTTCCTTAGGTCTTCAAGTATCTCTTTTTTGCCCAATTTTCAGCGCAATTGACGCGTTAAACGACGCGTTCCTTGCGTGTTATCAGCGCGTTTTTCTGCGGCTCAGCGGTAGCTAGCTGCTTACATTTTTCGCGCCCATCACTACTCACACTGGATGCCAGATTGGGCAATTCACCCGGTCCAGTGCGGATTCTTCCCTGTGCAAACCAATCCGTATGGTCAATTCAGACAAATTTCAGGTAAGCTTATGCTTGAGCATTTGCGGCTGGCCCGAGGCCTATCGCCCCACGCGATGGGGTTGAATCTAACAAAAAGCTGTGATTTCCTGCTTTTTGGGTCCAGTCAGCGCACATCGGCCATGCGACCCGATTAAAGCCCCAGAATGATATTAATAGTTATCCGCTACCCTGAGCCCGTCTCCGATTCGCCTCACGGGCCCAGACTCAGCACGATCTTCGCAAATCATTTCCGGGGCCCACACTGATTTCCGCTTCCACCACCGCCCGCGTTGCAACGCCGCTTACCGCAGCATGTCCATTTGACAGCTGGAACATTTCGTAAGTTCTGCAGCCAGCTATGCCCGTCTCGCGCCCTTTGCGCTCCCCAAAATTCGATTCATTGTCCATTTCAGTCCTTTCGCATGTTGGACTCGTATGGCGTTTGCTGGTGAACCAAATTTCTTTTCGCAGCTGCTTCAAATCCATCTACTCAACGCCCTCCGCACTCAAAATAGCTCGGCTAAAGCATAGAAACTGACATCTTTGCATTTTATGGAAGATCAGTCAGCCACTCGCACCGATAACGAGACAGCCCAGCTCGGGCGAACTGTCAAAGCTAAGCGAGCTCCAACGCCTATAAGAACCCCCACGGGTCTCAGGCTTCGCGCCCGTCACTCTTTTCCCTCCTCCCATCCACCAACTGCACGTGCCCGCCTCATCGTCGTCGTCGTCGACTCCCACCTCCATGTCAACCATGGTGTCGTGATGATGCTGTTGTGCTCGTCGTTCTTTTCCAGCCCCCGCTCACCATGTACACAGAATTCGAGCTCGACCCGAGCTTCATCGTCGTCTTACTCAAAGGTCAGTTTTACATTCGTGTTGTTGACTTGAGTACTTACCTGGTTGCAGCGTCATTATAATTCCCCCGCTCCCTCCTGGCAGACCTTCCGCCAATGCCAAGCTGGCCAGAGGTAAGTCCAATGCGTTCATTCGACAACATGCTTACTTACTTTGTATAGGCGACCGCTCGAAGATCAAGCTGTTCGCAAACAAGACGGTCAGCTCCACATTCTCGTTGTTGACCTGGATACTTACCATGTTATAGCGCCATTGTTTCTCCCCTCTACTCTTTCGTGTCCACGGACCCAAGCTGGAGGAGTAGGTCAGTCTAATCCGTTAGAACATGCTGACTTACTTTGCATAGTTAAATCGCCTCCGCTTTAGCGTCATTGTAACGCCCCCGTTCTCTCCTCCGCCAACCCCAAGCAGGAGGTAAGTCCAATGCGTTCATTCAACAACATGCTTGCTCACTTTTGCAGAGACCGTCCTTCCCGAATCGCTTCCGCTCGAAACCCAAGCTGTTCTCAAACCTGCAACGCAAGTACGGTGGGCTTCACACCGCGGGCAAACCATGTGTCAGATTGCAAATGACGGGTGTGTGACAGACCTAGTGTCAGGTTGCTGTCCGAAGCTTGGGCTGTCTTTGTGGGTCTTTCATAGCAGTAGCACAAAGAACAAACCTTTGATACATCAAATGATGAATTGATTTTATGATCAAACTTTATGTTCTTTCTGTCCTTATGCCTTTCTCATTTGCTTTTGTGTTTATGATTAGAAAAACAAGTAGAAAAGCTGAAATATGAAATTAACCCCCAATATTCTGATAATTTGACTTTATAGTTCTTGAATCATTTTAAGAGAATTGAGACATGTAATGACTAGAACAGGTTCATCTGTTCCATACTTGATATATTCAAAACAGAGAGAAAATACAAATGTACAAATTATTCTGGAGGTCTTTTCCGTCCACGATTCAAGGCCCAACAAACAACAAGACACTTTTCATTAATACCTGTGTAAGTGCCAGAGGGACGAGCCCATGCAGTCAAGTGTGTAATAACATGCTTAGGCTCAATAACAGTCAATGCTGTATGGGGTTCTGCAGCAACTATTCCAGTCATAAGCCTAGGAAAGTGTGCATAGGGTGTTTGTGACATGTCTAGAGCCTTGTGCTGATGTACAAAGAGAAACTTCCTCAGAAAGCCATGCAATGGAAATTCCAGTATTGATGAAATAACACCTGTCACTATATTTCTAGTATGTGGGTCTTGATACTGAATTAAACTGTTGCCTGCATGAGAGTCACTGGTGCTATAAGATTTTCTGTCCTCCTTATAATTTCTTAGAGACTTTGCAGCAGGTGGAAGAATCATATCCCTATGGTCCAAATCTGCATATGCTAAGTGACTAAGATAGCCAGCACCAGTTGCATTCAAATATTGCAGTACTAGCTGGTACTGCCTGTCAGACACACGTTTTGCCTTTGCCAGGTACCAGGTTAAGTCAGATTCATCTAGCTCTTGAGGTTGTTTAAGATGTGCCATGTCAGGCTCTAGAATTTCAGCCAGATATTGAAGGCTAGGATTGGTAAAATCATGATAGTGGAGTCTGGATAAGAGACGATTTCGCCGTGCCATTTGCCGCAGCATAGTAAAATCAATATCATCTAAAATTATGGTAAGATTAGTGCAAATTAAGCAAGCTCAGATATAAATGAACATACAGAGATGTTGGTTAGTAGGAATTCTTTGTAGTTGACCATTGATTTGTTCTCCTTGAAACTCAGCTAACCCAGGCCCAGGTCCCCAGTACTTGGTTTGAGCTGCAACATGTACTGAAAAGTGCAAGTTGGGTGGTTCATTAATATCTGGGTGTGTGTTTTGAACATATTGTCTATACTTGATAAGCTGTTCTGTAAACATATCTGCTTCACTATGTGAAACAGAGAATGATGCATTGATATTAGTTGCTGCTACTAGATGATAAAACCCTGTTTGCATATTTTCATTTACATCATTATCTTCAGATAGATCTGTTTCAGGAATAACCAGAGGAAGAACAGCAGTGAAGAGCACCAGATATTGGTCTGCCTTAATTTTGCCATGTTTTTTCTCTCCAAGATTAGGAGGTAACCTAGGGATATGGGAGGGTAGATACATCTCCTGTATACAAGTTCTGATATTCTCTATTGCAGTCTTATTGAGTTTGAAGTTGCCAAAGACTGCTGCACCAGTATATTCCTGATCAAAGTCATCACTGTTATAATCATCTTCACTTAGATCACTTGAGCTATTGTCTGTTGAAGAGGCAGCACTGGGGTTAGGTGTCATGACAGCTGATTGAGACCAATTGTCATCAACTTCCATCTCATCATTATCTATAGCTGGAGGTTGGGAAACACCTCTTTGATGGGGTGTTCTATCTGTATCTGTTGTTCCTAGAGTATTGCTCTGACTATAATTATCATAGAACTCTGCAAAGTCTTCTGGGTTATCCAGAGGGTCATTCAAAAGTGCCTCTACTTCACTGGCAGTTTCAGATCTGGCAGGTTCATCATAGGTTTCCAGGTCATTGATCTTTTGAAGTTCCATCTCCTTTTCATCTGATCTGCCCACACCCCACACAGTCCGGAGTTGGAAACGCAGGGCACCCTCAAGCCAGTTATGCATAAAACCTAGTATTGTGTGCTTGATTGGGTTCCAGTATGGTAGCCTATAGAATGATGACCATCGTATACCAGTTGCAGCTGCCCTTTCATTGCGACCCTTCAGAGTAGTTTCATCTTTCCATAGCTGAGCAGCAATACGTACTGCATCTGCATCTCGTAGCTGCCAGTTCTGCCAGTCAAGTCTTGCATTTTCATCAGATGTCAGAAGACAGTACCAACAATAACAGTTGGCTGAATGTGAAAGAAATCCACTAGCCTCTCTTGCTGCCAATAGATCAGCAACAAGAGGGATAATTCTAGCTCTGACAGCAGTACCCTCTGGATGCAAGTGGGTAATGACCACCTTTCCAGGCTCATAGGAGAGAATTTTCTTGATAATTGGATCCAGAACATGAGGAATTATAGCTGCATCAGGTTTTCCAGGTGAAGGGATAAGAGCTGCTAGAAACATATTTTCCTTGCGATAACGTAAATGAGCAGGTAGATTGAGACAGCAGAGGTATATGCCACCACATGATACTGACTTTCCTATACTCTCTATTAATAACACTCTCAGAAAAGGGAGATACTGTATATACCTGCAGTTTTATTTCCAAGAGGATTGAACCAGTCAATGTAAAGGCTGAACACCAGATTGTACCTGTTCTCAAGATATTCACCAAGATCTGCCCAAGCTTGACTATCTTGAAGATCATCTATATCACTTCCAGGCTCTGGAAATTCCCTGTCAACTGCAGTTGCTAAAGCTTCTTCAATAGGTCTCTGGGATAAAAAGAACTGAAGCCATTGATCAAAATCCTGAGTATTGAAAGTTGTATGTGCCACATTCTTAGTACCCTTTGCAGTTCTGCGTTGACGTTGAAGAGTTGCACCACATTTCCTTGCACGTGGAGAACGCCGGAAACTGCAAACTTTTGGAAGCTTATCTATATTGCCAGAATAAAGGGTATAACACTTTGGACAACAGATAGTCCGTTTGATTATTGGTTCAATATCAAACTTGGAGAACATAGTTCTGACATCTATAGGAACATGAAAATCTGGAAGAGTAACAGAGATTCCCTGTTGCTTGAGTCCTAGAGAGACAATTTCTAAAACAGTAGCAATAATCAAATTGATTGCCTTGAGAGTAGTGTTGACAACAGCTCTGCTGACATTAGCCTTGGTGTGTAGCCAAAGTGCAAGCATTGAGCAAAGTTGAATAACAAGCATTAGTCCAGGTTCAGGTTGAGTGGTTTCTGGACCTGGGTCTGAGAAAAGCACAAGAAGTCATTATAGGCTCTGGAATTTAAGGTGTGAAATAAACCTTCTGGTCCTTCATTGCCTGTGTCTGGGACACCAAGATCTGTTTCAATAATTTAATAATTTAATCAAGTAGAAAATATTATTACCTGAATCACTGTCATCATCAGAATCTACCAAGTCTGCAGCAGTAGCTGCATGAACTCCTCTAGTTGGCCTTCTATTCTTGGTCTGTCTCTGGCCTGCTAGTCCTTTTTACATGGCCACCTTGTTTATGCTGCTCTCGACGCTGCCATGTGATCATTCGGCCAGGCTGTACTACTCCATCAAGTTCAATACTACTCTTGTAGCACCCATACTTGGTGCACTTGCAGGGATAGAGCTTAGGAGGTTTGGGCTTTGGGGGCATCGAAGGCGGAATGAAGGGGAAGTCAATTGGGAGGCTACAGATAAGAAGATCCGGCCCATTTGATCTAAATCAGGGTCAGCAGACCTATGACGTAGTTGCGGGTAATATTCCAGCGCTTTCAATTCACCTCCGGCTAATGATTTACCGGCCCCGATCATTATGACGTAGACCGGCAGAGAGGAAATTCCCTCCACCACTGTCTACGTCATTGACACAGGTGCACAGCCCCCTGCTTAACTCCTTTCCAACGCTGACCAGCGGGATTCATTTCGATTGCGGGGGCTGTCCGCGGCCGCACAGTAACAGGACGCGGTAGACCTCCTCAATCGGTCAGCGGACGTTACCCGATGCCATATGTGCACTGTCTGTCCCCCGATCTGCCTGCTCACTCGCTGGGTCTCCACAACGACAGCCGCCCAAGCTGCCTCTTCCCGCCTCCTGCCTCGGGCCACACTGTCAGCGCTGCCGCGAACAGCCAAGCCGACAAGCCTGGGCGGCACTACATAGGACTGGGCGACAATGACAAGACGATGACCGCTGTAACAATGTCAGTGTGTTAAACAGGCAGTGTAACGTTAATTTGACCTTCTTTATTGATGTCGCGCAGCCGTTTGGTGTCAGTGAAGGGAGTGGGCAGCGGGCTGGGGTCGAGACTCGAGGGGAGCGGTCTTACAACATGGGCTGATGTCAGTGCAGACGAGTTGGTGGGCCCAGTTTGGCGTGATTCGCCCGAGAAATGCCCCCAGGGTGGCCGGGACAACTCAGGGCCATGAGACAACCGCTGGGCCGTTCTGTCCAGGAATTTGAGGGTGTGGCGGGGTGCCGCGGATGTTGTTCCACCAGCACCACTGCTTGATTGAGCCTGAGGAGCGGTCGTACCACCAGCAGTTTTGGTGTTTGTGGCGGATGAACCGGCTGCGGTTGTTGGAGATGGCTGACTTGGACTGGGCTGTCCATGTCTGCCCCTGCCATGTTTGCGTCCAGGTCGACCACGCTTGGCTGGTGGAGATCCTCCAACTCCAGTAGTGGGACTGGCTTCAGTATCGGCTTGGTTGCCATCGGATCCGCGCTTGCGCTTTGTCGCTGTTCGTATGCCGGGCATATGAATAACAGGAAGATGAAACAATACCAATGAAAGACTGCTTACCTTTTAGCTGAGTCGATACTTCAAAGAAACAAAGACGCATCACCACACATGTTTGCAATGCGGGCAGAGGCACAGATGATTTGGCAGGCCGGGGATCAAAAACTGAATTATTGAATACACAGCTTAACGACTGACTACAAAGAGCTCAAAGGGCTCTTGCCATCCGGACACTCAACGGACGCTAGGTCTGCCACATGTCTGACATTTGCTGTCGGACGCAAGGGTTGCCCGCGGTGTCACATTCTCGTTGTTGATTTGAATGCTTACCATGTTATAGCGTCGTTATCTCTCCCCACTCTTTCGCGTTCACAGTCCATTCGCCCCAAGCTAGAGGAGGTAAGTCCAATTTGCTTCAAGAACAAACTTACTCACTTTGTATAGGCCGCCGTTTGCCAAATCGCCTCCGCTTGTAACCCATCTCGTTCGCAAAGCTTCAAGGCAAGTCAGGACCACTTTCCGTTAAATTGTACTCACTTATCAACAGAGCTTGCTCGCGTCGCTGTTGCTGGCCGACACTGCCCCTTCCCGCGGCCTTCAAATCCCACCACTCATCCGCGTATTTTCCCGCCCCATACAATTTCCCTCCTCACCGTCGTTGTCATTTGCAGCGTTCGATGGGGTCTTCAAGTTGCTGTAGGCTATTAACGCCGAGCAGGTCGTCAGAGCTGGAGGAGCTAGCGAACGAGGAGACTAGTTTTGTAGTTCCTCTCACCTTTTCCGCGCACTAACTCTCGTTGCAGGTGGTTCCGAGTTTGCCCAACGGCTATAATTATCAAAAAGTCAGCCAATCAAGCGTTCTTGACGCGCAACAAGCGCGCCTTTTACTCCTTCTCCGCCCGCGTGCTGACCCTCGTTTCCAGGCTGACCGCCCTCTCCCGTTTGCGATTCCCAACCGGTGCGTGCCCAGCTCATTGTCAAGACCGGCCGGCGCTGACTCGTTCTTTCCCAGCATCGATTCGGCGCCATTCGCAGGCTGCAGAAGCAGAAGAGGCGGTCCGGGGCGTGTTAGAGCACAGCGGCAAAGCGGCTGGAGGGCGTAGTTAGCATTCCAGCCACTTTAGATAGATGTCGGCGGCTTGCCGTGGATTGGCGGGCTCGGCGGGCCGTTCGCGGCAGGCAGCGCAATCCGCGCGTCTTGAAGCCGGGCGCAGTCATGTGGTTTTGGGCCGAAGCACGGGCGAGCGGGCTGGTCGGTGGAGCGAGCGGGAGATGAGGGGAAGCGGGAGTGGTTGGTAAGCGACACGTGCCGTCGGGCAACGGGCCCGACAGGCCGGCCGGTCGCTTCCTCACGACCCTGAGCCTCCCTGCGCTCGCCGTCGTTGGCGCAGCCTGCTGCGTGCCCGCCTAGCTTTTCTTCGTTGCATCGCGCGTTGGGAGGGCGGCGGGGCTATATATATATATATATACTTCAGGTCAAGAAGATGAGGCGAAGGAGAAGGGTGGTGAGTATCAATTTGTCCTTTCTCCCTCCTCGATGCACTCGCTGACTCCCGCTTTCAGAGCGTGTCAACCTGAAGCGAATCCCCGCCCAACCCCGGGCCGCCCGCACCGTCACCGCTGTGTCGTCGGGCAACGTCCCACAAACGATGGTGCCTGTACCATACGAGACGACAATCTAGAGGCTTGTCGCTTACGAGTTGTTTGGTTGGTTGGCCACCGTGGTGGGACGTGTATGCTATATGCGCTATGTGGCGATGATGAGCGACGAAAAAAATGATTCAAATTCATGCATTCCTTTCGCTTTAGTTCAAGAGCACGAACAACAACACATGAAAAGTACTCCGCGCTTGACTCAAATTCACAGCAGCTGAATGTATTCTACTTCTCACTATGGAGTTACACTCGAACTAGCCGCTATGAAAGTGTGAACCGTTGGTAGCTGGCCTAAGCGAACCTACTATGTAGTTGGCTCAAACTGACAATGCATAGAGCTACTCTCCTCCGTCGATAGTGCATCCCTTTCGCTTCATCTGAGTGTATTTTGCTGGGTCAATTCGAAGAGTTACTGCTGAGAGCGTCCAAATCTACTCTATTTCTTGGTCTCGGTTCCTAATAGTACTTGTCAGTGGTACAAACAACAGGTTCTAGCTGATATGGTTCAGAATTCTTCTACAAGTGGTTGATTATAGCTTCAATGAGCATGGCGATATGGTGCAGGGTCATGGGGGCGTGCTCGCCGATCTGGTCAGTCAGGATGAGAGCAAAGTGGCTTTTCATTGCGTATGCGTCGTAGTGTGACTTCATGTTGCGGAGCTCAGGTAGCCCCAGTCCAACCGAACGGAGGAGCCCGATGTAGCCTGCGAGGCTTTCTCGAGGCGCCGACTGCAAGAAAGCGAGCAGGTCGTTTTCGTCGGTGTTTTCGGCGGGCTGTTGCGCGTGAAGAGTCTGAATATCCAGCGGGTATATGTGCTAATTACCTGAATGTTCACTGGTGTCACAGAACTGAAGCTGTTTCCGGCCCCAATGGACGGAGAGGTGCCAGCTGCGGACTGGGCTGGTTGATTGAGATTCTGAGCTGCATATGGACGAGGCGGGAAAGGATACACAGTCGGCTTTCTTGAGGGTATGCGGGGGCTAATTGTCAACGCCGGGTCGATTCCCTTGCACTAAGTAATGAATCAGTTGCAAGTCACGGGAAAATCAACAACAAATGGACGGACTGCTGGATATTCTGAGGCGGAGAAGGGCTGGAGAGCTTGAGGAGTCCGAGCGTCATCGAAAGCCTGCGCAGACAGTAAGTTGGCGGTAAATTGAGGCCTCAGATATGTTCCGAGTGTGCCAAATCGCGTTTCTCTCTCCTGGACAGCCTGCTCGGTGGAGTCATGACCACTCGATCTCAAACTAAAACCCGATCCAGGCCGCGAAGGCAGGCAACTTCCAGGTGTCGACGCGGGTTGCGCTAATTCATACTTATGAAGGATACTCGGAAGGTCGCCAGCGAGGGCCACATCTCGACTGGTGTCGTCTGGCTCAGCATGACGGTGGCTTTTGGGAGAGCACAGTAGCACATCCCGTGACTGGCATGTAATTATTTCCCATGTCAAACCATACCCCCCCTTGCACGCCCCGCTCCAACGCTAAGTCGCGCTCGCTCGCCAAGTCGCGCGAGCGAGAGACCCTCTAATATACTACTTTTTTTCAGCGCACGGACCTATAAACAAGGTCATGTGAGTACTCTGTGCGTCGAGCAGCGGGCGAAAAATTGGGATTTGGGGACAGGTTTGAGTGGATTTGGGGGACATAACATGCTGGGGAATTTGGCGTCACTCTCGGGCTTTCCGGGCAGGCATATAACGATGTAAAGTCATATATTAGCTATTTTAAAGAGGTACATCCAGGCGCGCTAATTAACAACGCGTCGCGACGCGTGCCAACTCCCTGCGACGCGTCAAATCTCAAGTCCACAACGCGTCCATCTCCAAATCCAACACCCTCCAGCGCAGAGCGCTATTCACGCAGCCTTGATAAGCCTCCCGTTCGTTGGCCTCCGGCGGCCCAGACCTGTAAAATTTGAGCCTTATATCGCGTCAAATGGAGGCAAAACCGCACCCAAAATATACCATCAAATGCAGCGCGGACAACAGTGTAGGCAACACACAGTCGACACCTTTGCAAGGCCAGCCGTTTTTTGGCCTCCGGCGGTTCAGACCTGCAAAATTTTGAGCCTTGAATTGCGTCAAATCGCGGGAAAAACTCACCCAGAAAATACCATCAAAACAAGCGCGGACACCAATGTCGCACACAGAATTGACAGAGAGTGAGCGTGGCGCTAAGACAACGGCGCCGTCAGTTGGAGGATCGGAGGTGTTGCTGGTGCGCGGCCGATTGCCGTGAGCGCAACGACAGTGATTGCGGGAAGAGTTCTGGGTCCCGCGCAGCACCCAGACTTCCATCCCCATCAAGCCGACAGCGGGCATGACGGCGAGCACCGGCCAGCAGCGGTCGAGAAGGTTGGCCGGAAGAGGGTCCTTGGACCATTTGGAGATGGCGACAATGGCGCGGCAAGCCCGGCGGAAACATGGCGCGGGAAGGAATTGAGAGCGCCGAAAGTCGGAGCTTGGGGTTACATAGGTCAATGACAGACACAACGTTGGCCGGGTCCCAGCATCGGGACGAGCTCCGCAAGGCCCCACAACAGCAGTCAAAGTCATTGGGAAACAGGCGCGAGGGGGAATCACAGGGTAAGCTTGCCGCTGCGCACCTTTCGAGTACCGGCCCGGAACCTGTTGTGGAAGAGGGTCCGCGGAAAGGGATGCAGGTCGGGAAGATGATGAGGGTGAGGGGAAATGACACATGCGGGAACGTGACGCGGAAGTAATGCGTGTCGACACAAGGCAGCGACAGACACGACATCTAAACATGGCGGAGGCAACAAAGTCTTGAGGAGAGAAGTGGCGCAGGGAGTGTCGAGGGAGTCGGAAGACGATGACAAAGGGTAAGAAGTCGATGACAAACTTGTCTTGGAGATGCAAAGACGACCAGCGCGCGCAGCGGGGCTTGAGTCAGCAGCAAGGACTGAATGCAACGCTGCTGGTGGACAACCGGGGTGGTAGCGCGGCGCTTCGCGCCTCACGCGGACAGGTCAGGGTGACGGGCAGTAGCAACGCGGAGAGTGGCGGTGCAGTAGGCTCTACAAGAACGGTAAGCAAATGATGATAAGGCAAAAGCAAAATTGGACTTACAACATAGAGTCAGAGCCAACAACCAGGATGCGAAGACTAGGCTTAGCGCTGCGCGCCTCGCGCCGTGTCTTTGCCATGATCAGGGCGGGTGATGCAGACATCCCGAGGCCCCCCGTTGATTGCTCGGCGCTTCGCGCCTCGCTCGCTCGCGATCCAGCACAACGGCAGTGTGGAAAACACACTGCCGAGAGCTTTGAAGTCCAGGGCGTTTCATTCGCCTCCGGCGGCAAAAACCTGTGAAAAAATGAGCCATTTAGACGCTAAAAAGAGCGC